GTTTCAAAATATCGATTTTTTACGGGGGGTCTTCTAATATGTCTTTTGCGTCATTTATTCAAGGGGGGTCTTCTAATGTGTCGATGGCTTTACAAAGATTTTAAAGATCAATTCGATTTTATCTAAATCGTTTCTGAAAAACGTTTTTCTCAAAATGATTAATATTGTTGTCTATTATGTTTTCTTTAAAAGTTCTAACGTTTTATCAATCAACATTTTTTTCAAAAAATATTCGTTTTATTGCATTCTGTTTGTCGATTTAAGATAAACAGATGATAAAATAATTTCATCATATTTCTTGAACCAACTTATTTCAAAACCATTCTTATCACTGAATGTATGCAATATTCTTTTTGTCGATCTTGTTATGTTCAACACACTCTACAAGCTATGATGTTACACTGTCACTTTGCTATGCACACTGCATGATGGTAATGTTTACTTTTGCAGCATACATATTTTTAATTACCTCACAACTTTTCGTCGTATAGCGGGGAATATCTTTGATATTTTCTTTAGTTCGTAGTGTTGAGACAAATGCCGTCCATGTGTACAAATAATTCCAAGTTACATTATGCAATGATGAATAAGCAAGAGAGAGAAAAATGAAAGAAAATGTTTATTTCTTTCGTCCGTCATTTCTACCATTTCTTCTTCATACATATATATATGTACGGCATGTCTGAGATTCGTCATTGTCAACACATTTTATCGTAGTAAGCACATCGCCATTGTTGTAGCTGGAGTGAAAATTCAATTTCTCTATTAAATATTTACTCAATAATCAATGCAAATTATCTTCGTTCATATGTAAAAGTTGATGTCTTTTTTGGTAAAAAAGAATTTAAAAAGTGTGAAACGGTAAACATTATTTTGAATCATTAAAATCATTACTTGTATCTTTTTACAGCTTTTGACAAAGTTAATCAATAGAAATCAGGATGTAACAACTGCTGAAAAGAGTACTATGATCGAATTATTAAAGAAACGAGTTTTGGTTTATCATCGTTTAGGAAAACACAGACGTGAGTATCTGATTTCTTAAAAAATATTGAATGAACCAGAAAAGTTGTTTAGTTGTTTTACACGATTTTCAATCACTTATGGCACGAAATGTAACAATCGACTGGAACAATGATATATATTATATTCAACAGTAAGTGATGTCATAATCATTTTTATTTATTGGCATGAGATATTTATTTTGTAGACAAGCGATTTTAAAGTGTGCTGTCGATGAAATTACGCAAAATTTAAATCAGAATTTATGTCCATGTAAGTCATATTTTGATCTTCCCCTTGCAGTATTATCTTTGTTTTGTTATTTCAGTAAATCAGTCGTTTTTTGATTCAATTATACAATTTTTTGACTTTATAAAGTCAAAAGATGTCTTTAACAAGTAATTTAATTGCAAATCTGAGTTGCATAGCAATTTATTCTGTATTTATTTTGTAGAAAAACATTTGATGCTACAAAAACCAAAACAACTGGAAGAAATAAACAATTATTTTGAACAATTAATTAATATGGTTAAATAAAACTTTCCTTTTTGTTTTTGTCTTTTGCCATATGTGCAACTTGTAGATAGTAAAAGTTTATGTATATTAGCCTTTGTTTTTTGATTGTATTCAGTACTTATAGTCGATTCTCTTTGTTTCTTTTGCTAAAACCATAATAAATAACGAAAGAAAAGAAATAAATATAATTTTTTTTTCTTAAATTCATAAAAACTGAACAAAATAACAAGTTACTGTTTGATATTGAATAGGGGCTTTTGATTTAGCTGTTCAATCTACTTATGGTGCTGATGTATCAGCTAATGCAGATGATAAAACAAAGAAAAAGAAACAATTAAAAACTAGTGTAATCGATGATCCTGAATGTATGATTTTTCATTCATTAGAATTCCTTTTCAAAAATCTTGTTTCTTTTATAGCCTTTAATGCAATTGTTCGTATATGTCTTAAACAATTATTACCAGCAATCTATAGATTTCTTCATATAAAACTTGTTACAGCAAGTAAATTAAAACCAGAAACAAGTTCAAACTGAAAATATATTGAAAATATGAAAAAATGTTTGCTGCATTTTAGACGAGTTTATCTTTCTTTTTGAAATTATTTTATATTCTTTTTTTTTTTTTATAAATTAGCTCATATCGATGATTAATGTTCCAAGTACATTAAATATTCTTCTTCGACATGTTCGTTCTCTTATTCCATTTGTTATTGTTTTACTAAATACTCGTCAAGCACTTGTTAAATTAAATTCAGATAATGAAGAAAAATTCTTTTCTCAATATTTATTTTATTTTAGGAATTAATTCATATTTGGTCAACATCATCACATGAACGTAGCCGTGTTATCGCATTTGTTTGTTTATTTCATTCAATACGTGAACATCGAAATGAAATGATTGGTGCTGTTTTACAAGTAAAGATTTTCTTATTTATCAACTTAACTAAATATTTTATTTTTAATAGAAAATATTTTTGTATTATTTGAAAAATTGCAAATTTACATCAACAACAACACTTCCATTAATTGATTTTATGCAAAGATCAGTACTTGAACTTTATTCACTTGATTCAACAGTTACTTATCAAGATGGTTTTGTTTTTCTTCGACATCTTGCTGTTCATTTACATGTAACTGTTCAAAACAAAAACCAGTAAATAAATTTTTTTCAATCCAATTTGGGCAGGTATAAACTACTTGAAATTGTTTTGAAACTTGAATATTGATTAGTCTGTAGTCTATAATCGTTCGAAGACTGATAATCAAAGGTACGTACTCATCATTTACTAACTGCATTATTCTCAATCGGTAAAAAGCAGATATATTCTCATCGTTTTACATTCCAATCGATCTGTGATTGACGGCATTGAATTGTACAATTATTTTTTTTCTACTGTATAGATATCTATACTCGTATAGATAGTACGAAATGTAAAAATTATGTTTATGCCGTTGCCATTAGGTCTCAACCATCATCCTTATCAATCATCACTATCGAATGGTTTATCTAGAACAAGATGCGATATGAAATTTTTTATAACAATTAGATACTGAGAATGATTTATAGAATGAATATTTATTTTTAATTTAGTATTAAAGTCTTTTCGTTATTTTTATTAGTTATTATCCAACATTAAAACGTCATTCACATGATGATGAACAAATTGTAGAAACTAAATCATTTGACAATATAGAACCTCAAATAAAACTACGTTCAATTGGTTCATCTTCATCTATACCATCATTTAAAATGCAACAACAAACAACAAATGAATCGACTATTGGTGTACCTAGTTGATTATGTAGTGTATGTGGAGACATAAGTATCGGTAAATATTATTCTATATTTAAAAATCAAATAATCAATTAAGAATATTTTTATTAGGAATTTATTTCGGTGGGAATAACTGTGAAAGTTGCAAAGCATTTTTTGTCGATCCGTACAATGTCTTCGTTTCCAGAATTATAAATGTTCTAGTGAAAGTAAATTATTATTTCCTTTGGATCCCATCTAAAACGTTTTTTTTTCTTCTAAGATTCAGTTCATTTTTAATTTCTTTCATTCATACAGTACTCAATTCATGAAAAGGATAATACAAATTTGCTTGTTCATCTGTAATTCTGTGTTAAATAAAATAAAATAGAGCAAAGTCATGACATTAAGTCTAATGAAGAAATAAAAAAGACGATAAAATAAAATCTTGGCATATCTTGTCTTTTTCTATTAAATGTGAAAAGAATTTTTCTAAAGAATTGTATTAATTATTAATTAAAAAAATTCACGTCTATTCTATTCAATTAGAATTCCTAAGAGAAAAATCTGAATATATTTCAGAACGATGCCCGATGAAGATTGTGACATGTAAAGTTCATCAAGTTTGCCGATATGCTAAATGTACATCTATTGGGATGAAACGAAAATGGTAAGAATAAAAATAAGCAAAATCTTTTTAGCGAATTTTTTCTTTATTTAAAGAGGGTTTTATCCAATGAAGAACGTGAAGAAAAATATGATACAAGACGAAAACGTTTTCGTGAAAATCGTAGGAGTGAAGAAGATCCTGATATTTATAAATTTTTAGCCAAAGAAGTAAAAAATTACTTATCGAAAATATAGCTCATGCATCATATCAATCCCGAGCGTGAGTAATCAGATCTTTTAGTACGGCTGATATGTCAGAAAACACAAAAAAAATAGTTATGGTCATCCTCCTTTTCGTTTTCTTTCCGATTATACGGTACGAGTGTTTCGATAAAAAGCAAATAGGTAGAATGTCAAACAAAAACGAACGGGCCAATCATATTATTTTTCATTTTAGAACATATCCGTTAAATTTTCCAAGTCCATCAATTTTTATTTGCAAATACTCCAAATTCTCAATCTGATAATACAAATGTTCAATCATCGAACAACATAAGTAAAGGTAGCACCGGATTCGAGTATAATCAGCCCAGATTCGCTCATGGACTTGTGTTAACTTTCTAACCGGTTGTGTTAGATGCAAAATTTAATTCTCTATCGAACGGTACCACTTTTCATAGGAGTCATCGGGCAAAAAGTGGCAGTCTCGCTCGAAATACAAGCTCAAAAGCAGGTTTTTGGCAGTTACTGTATCCCGGATTGGCTCGTGAACTTGTGTTAACTTTGTAACCTGTTGCGTTTGATGGAGAATGGTATGCTGTATCGATGAGTTCTATTGTGAGTCGAGATTGTTCCGAAAAAGGCTCTGATTTTGGAGCAAACTCAGTATTTGCAATCGTTGTCCAGGTAGAGCTCGAGTTATACGTTTTTGGTGAAGTGTTTTCGACTTATATAGGTAATATCCATCTGCAGAATTTCTTGATTTGTTGAACCTGCGGCATTGGAATATTTATTGAAGTGGTTATTAGCGTTATCTGAGTTATCATTTGTGTTACGATGGATAGTATTATCTTTGGTTCCACTCTGAACGGTTTTGAGTTGAGGAAGTTTTGTCTGTTGGGTATGAATGTGTATCTTGAGTTGTTTGGTAAAGGGTCGATGTGGTGGATGAGTTGTATGCTCAAGATAGTTTTACGTCTGTGGAACTCAGTCCGATGATTAGACTTACGAGGTTCTCAAAAATTTGATCGAACATACATAAAATGGCCGACAGTTGATTTAAATTTCGGAAGCATTTTAGTTTGTTGAAGTTTTTTGCATCGTAGGCCTGTATCTTGTCATTGTGAGAGCGCTAGGCTCAGTAATGTATTGCGTACTGGTGAGTAGTTAAGTTTTCTTTCAAGTGTCAGAGCAAGATGATAATGTAAGGTGGTTTTCGGAGTCATTTATTTAGTTTTTTAGCGAAACAGATTGAAAACGTGAATGAAACAAGTGAAAAAAAATCGTATTATTGACAAAATATTAGTGTAGAAGCATGATAAAGAGTAATTTTTATATTGAACAGTCATTTCAATACAGAGCAACATGGTTAAATAATCAAGTAGGAAAAGCAAAACAAAAACACTTGTGCAGTTTTCAAAGAGTTTAAGTAGACGAGGCATGTGAATAGTGACAATGAGCAGCATGAAATATGAATTAGAAGAAGAAAAGTTGGCATGCAGTTTGAACAGTTATCGGGTTATACGTGCACATGAAATCAAAAAGGCATCAGAGCTGCTGTTGAAATATGTCTTATGCTCGTAAAATATAAACAACGAAAATGACGGGTAGTAGTCCATCGTGTGGAAAACATCCTTGCGGATGTATATCATTGAAGCGAACATAGGTGCCTTCATTGGTTTTGATAATGGTGGTGAAGTGACTTTCAGTGTTGTTGAAGCCTCACGAAAGAGTATATCTACATAAAAAGAAATTTTGTGAAATTTGTGAATATAAACTAAATCAACTTACTCATGTTGACCAATATATAATGGATCAGGCAGTTTCACCATGAATGGTTCGTCTACTTCAACGCTAATAATTACAAAAGGTGACGAATACTTCAAAAGCTGCTTAAATATGGTACGTGGTGATTGACATATATATCGCGTCCTAAATTTACATATTTGAGAAAAGAATATGAAAAATCAAAGAGTTCTTACTCAACATGAGTAGTCTTTGTATCCACATCAGTAATCGGACAACATTCGTTAATATCGTAAGTATGGGGATATTTGTAAGGTTCATTAGGACCGAGATGACCACCACAAAGAACCATAGGATCATTTGCAAAAGATTCAATATAATTTGGAAACTGCTTGTTGATTTTGTTAAATAGATTTTGAACATGTTGATAATAGTAAGCTCCATTAATGAAAGACAAAAAAATTAATAAAAAATTATAAAGAAGAAGAGTTTATAATGGTTTCAGATTTTGGATCTATGAAAATTATCTATTTCTATAATAAATATTTGAAGCTTGCCAAGTATTTATAAAAACTAAACTCCTCAGAAGATTTTGACAGTCGAACAATTACGTAATTAATACAGTTACTGAGTTAATCTTTTGAATTTATAAGACAGACAGAATTACTCAGGTTGTTCCGTGGCCATAGTACGGATTTATTTTAGTTATCGTTTATTTCGAAAAGTCATTCTTTCATGAACTTACGCAATTTTGGTCACGAAATTACTAAAACTCGAATTCCAAATTTTCTCCTAGTAACATCCCATGTATCGTACTTTTATTTGGTTACAACCTTACCGTAGTGTTATGTCGACACTTGAATGTTACGCATACGTTTTGGACAGACAAGACATGTACATTCGAAGTTTATATCAAATTCTTGCATCGGCTTCATAAAATCGAAAACAATTTTGGTTAATGTATTTTTTAAGTCGTATTATCCTTCTTTGCCTCTTATCTTCTTTTCGTCTACTTTTTTATATATGCATATATAGCGCTGCTCGTTTTCTGCTCGTGATTTAATATCAAGAAGTATCAAAATCACCTGTTGTCATCTGTCACTTTTGCGTGTTCTTCTAAATATGTTACGATATTCTCTCTCTCTCTCTCTCGTTACAATTTATGTATTCTCTCTTTGCCATCTGTATTCTCTTTTCTCTCTATCATATGTATTTTCCCACCTTATCAAACAGTATTTCTTCTTTCTATCATATGGTTCATTGCTTCTCTCTCTGGTGTTGTTCTTAGCACGCTTCGATATTACTTTGCCTAGATATTGTTCATAAATCAATATATACTTCCAAAATAAATAAAATAAATCATATGTGGATATCCGATATTATTCTCTTTCGCTATTACACAGCACAAGCAAAATTATTCCAACCCGAAAAATTCACATTAGTTAGCCATTTTGAATTGTGCTTCTCATTTCATAGCCTTTCGCACAGATGCTCTTTCTTTAATATTGAAAAGAATAAATAGGAAACTCTATCAGTTCCAATAAAGAGAAAAACAAAAAAAACTACCTACAACTGAAAGCGTCACTATCAGTGAAACGTTGCTAAGTATTTATAGCAAAAGATTTAACGATTATGCCTAAACGGACTCGCCTTCTTAAGATTGTCGCTCTCATGAACTGTATGTATAAAATTTCATGAGGAAACTTATCCGTTAACCCTAACCTCAGATTCAGTATTTGGGGTTTAATTAATGATTTTTCCCCAATAACACTGCTTGAAAATAGTACCATTGGATAGGGAATTTAATTCTGCATCTAACACAACTGGTTAGAAAGTTAACACAAGTCCACGAGTGAATCCGAGCTGATTATACTCGAATCTGGTGCTACCTTTACTTACGTCACCAGCTATACGACAACTCTTCAAGAACAAAGACTAAATATCAAAAGATCTTGAATCGAGCATCGTATATCAAGTGAATTGCAGTAATGTTCAGCTACTTATATTGGAAAGACCATTAGGCAGGCTTGTCGGCGTATGAAAGAGCACGGTACTTCATTAACTGCACCTATAGAAGAATCTAGTCAGATTCTTAGGTGTTCTGCTAGAATTGCTTCAGCTAAAAGCAACAAGGTCTCATATATCGATTCTGAAAGTAGCGAGGACGAACATGTAAATGCTGACTCAAAATCAAGTATAAAACGTGATGTCATATCGACCAAACGTAAGATAGATTCGAATAATTGGATATTACTTGATAGAGATAAACACTCATATAAATTACGCATTAAAGAATATCTTGCTATAGTCGAAAACTCTTCAATCTTAAATCTCACTACAAGATCAACACCATTAATCGTCTATCCAGAGGGTTGTATGAAGAGACGAGCAGAAAATAAAACATCACAAATATCTCGCTAAAATACCAACAATTTCAATTATTTACTCATTCATACTCATAAACATAGCTTTCTGTATGTAAGTCTTGTCCTTTACCTGTACATAACTATCAATTGTCATATATTGTAATTTTTATCAATCATACATAATTTTATCGTGGATGTAGATTGCTAATCTTCGACATAATTGTCATTGAGTTATAATTTCTATTATGATTGTACCAGAGCTGGGCAAGTCAGAGATTTCTCAAGTCACAAGTCAAGTCACATCAAGTCAAATCATTCCTAGAATTCTCTTTCCTTCAAGTCAAGTCAAGTCCGACTAACAATTAGGCAGAACATTACATTTGCTAGCATTTATCAGGTGAGGGTCCATTTTTACAGTCTTAGAATTCTATTTCATGGTAAAAAATAATGCCTATAAGAAACTTAGCTGGGCAAGTCAGAAGTTTCTCAAGTCACAAGTCAAGTCTGACTTGATTTGCCCAGCTCTGGATTGTACTATAATTATTGACTAATACTCTCTTCCAATTTTTGTAATTCTACGTCTATATATAACTATATTGACATACACGCATTCTTATTTTCAATGTAATAATCTTCTCCTTCATAATTATTATTGTCTCTCCTCTACTTGTATCTGCATGTATAATTTTTCTATCGTTATTATTCTATTAATGCTATTACACTATAATTATTATTAATTTTGTAAGCGATTATTTTCACTTTTTATTTACTTGAAAATGATAATAAATTTATCGAAACGTCGTAAAATGACAAAAAACTGATTCATTTGTCTTTTCTTTATTTACGCTGTTGTTAAAAGGCTTCTAATATAACTCAATTTTATCAAATACGCTCACACCAAACTAGAAACAGTATCATCACGGAATTCAAAATTCTTTTTTTTTCAACTTCTCATAGTTATCCATGGCCCAGACATTATGTATTATTATTTTCCGTTATTGTTCTGTTCTTTAAACAAATACACTCAAGCTCAATCTGCTAATATATTTTAAGTGATCGAAACTAAGAAAAGCAACATCAAATACTCTTAATCATTATAGTTTCAAAAACTCTATTATTATATGATCAAATTTCATAAAATAGAATTTAAAGTTATCATCGTTTGTTAAAGTCAAGTACAATTTCAGATTGTTAAAAAAGTAAAACACAGTGTAATGGTTGTAAATGTTTCATGTTATCGGACATCTTTTTTTTCTAAACGTATGCAGGAACATATACGATGAGGTGATTATATAAAATTTAGACAGCTAAAAGGTCAAAATATTGAAGCCATCAAAAGTAATTGTGTTATGAGATTGTTTTCTTTATATTTGAGTAATCAATAAACGACAAATCGTTTTACTTTTCTTTTAAGCCAATCAAAAAATTGTTAGTAGTTATAAATTGACACTCGATCATCTTGATTCTTTATCAATTAGAAACTACAAAATATTGATTTTTTTTTATTTATTCAGAAAAAGATAAAAGAGAATGTTATTGATTATAGCCAGTCCAACTGATTATTATACAGCATTTAACTATAATAAACTAAGAGAACTTTTCTTTTTTTTATAACGAAAAAATATTTGCGTTGTTATTATCATCAATTCAGTGTTTTCATATTAATATACAAAGAATAAAAAACAATGATACATCCATCTTCAATTCTTTTTTTTTGATGATATGTTGCTATTCATCAATTGCTTTGATAGATGTGAAAATGTGCGTAAATAAACAAATCAATTTTCATCTATTAATCCATGTTAGAAGGTCAATGGCAATCAAACTCTATCTTATAGAGAACACATCAAAATTAGAATATATTATTTCAAGTAGCTGAAACGAAAACGACTTTTATCTATTTGTTTTTTTTTAAAATCTCAAATAGTGTAAGTTAGTGAATGTGTGAGAATGTCAATATGAAAAAGAAAAAAATGAGTTGTTACATTGAGTTGATGTTGTATATAAGCGAGATAGTCAACTAGCTGTGAAATGAAAGATGAAGTACAACACGTGCTGGGGAAGAAAGAGAAAGATAAAAGTTCTTTTATTTGTGCACACATTTACATCGTCGATAGAAGATTAGACCAACACCATATACTAACTGTTAGACGGTCGAAACAACGATGTAAGATCAAAGTTTATTATTATTATTATTATTGTTGTCGTGTTTTTTTTTAGTTAAATTTATTTTTTCTCTAAAATAAGACTAAATGAACTAAGTATTGAACAGGTGTTTGTAACATTGAACGCACATTTTGCTTCTTGTTCTTCTTGTCTTAATAAATGAATAGAATGAAAAATGATTTTTAATTTGTTTTTTTCTTATCATCGAAATTGAAGATCGGTCAAATAAAAAAATGAAGAGAATTGCTTTCGGAATATTCGTTTATTCTTTTTTGTTTGCTCTATGTCATCATGTATATATATATATATATGCGTTTCAAGTTAGTTTTATCGTTGTTTAATAGAAGAGAGTCTACCTTATCTCTATCTCTCTCAATGTTGGCAAATGATGAAAAAAAAAACTAAAAGAGAAAGAATATAAGAGCACCTTTCCTTTTGTTTTACTGCCTTCTTCTGATTAATAATCCTTCTTTCTTTTTTCTCAACACAGAATCAACTTGTTCAATAATCATATCAATTGTTAATATGAAAAATAGGTAAGAATTTAAAGAAAAATGAAGGAAATTTTATTTTATATATTTTTCAAAATATTCGAAGAAATCTTTTTTTTCAATTAAAACTTTGCAAGATGATCAAAATATTTTTATTCGAAACAAGAAATTTATCGTATTTTCAGTTAGTACATATTGCTAATGATTGCAAACGAGAGGATATTAACTGTAATTAGTCGTAATGAATGTGGAGAAGAGGTTAAGTATCGCACTACAAAGATCTTCGAAAGAGTCTCGCATCATCCACAGGATTATTGATTAGGAGAAGCTTTCCTCTCCAAAATGTCCGACTTTTTGTCAATTTTTTACAGTTTCGTCATAACTTTGGATGCAAACTGAAATTTAAAAAATCATTTACTTTTTTTTTATTACTGAAAGTGAAAAAAAAATAAGCGGCCAATGTCGTTTCGAGGTGAATACTCGAACGTTTCAAAATAGAGAATAGTGTAGCCCGAGCTGCAAATATGTTCGTTCAACATCATATGGACATGCGCTAGAATGTATGATATCATGAGCCGGTGCTGAATTGTCTCGCTATATCTTCCAACAATGTTTATTCATTTCAGAACGGGATTCTTTTTTTTTTTTTTCGAAGCAAAATATTGAAATATGGAATTAGCTAAAGTATTCAGTGAACAATATCAGTTAAATCAATGATAAGTAGTATGAATCCATAGTTCTGAACTGCTTCGGGACTGGGAAACATACATAGATGTCTCTCATCTCGAAAGAGTTAGATTATCTGTAATAATTAAAATAATAAAATTAGAATGAACTAGTAGAATGACAGCAAAATTTGAATATGTACGAATATTTGCCTTATTTTATTAAAAGAGAACTCGTTGTTTAATGTATATGGTTTGATCTATCATGTACTATTGATTCCTTATCATAAATCATGACTGAATTTTTTCTTATGCTTAAACCTTTATGATAAGTTATTATTGACAATATTATGTTTTATAAAATGTAGCAACTGATATTCCTAATATAAGGAGAATTAAAGTGAATATTGAAAACCAAGCAACTATTTCAATGTTTAAATTGATCAAGATGTTTCAAAAGCTTTAAAACTCTTTGTTACTGTTCATCTTGACTTCTAATAAATTTATTATTTTAAAATTAGCTTGAAAAAAACAAAAACAAAAATGAATACTATCAAGTATTTAGAAAGTCGATGATATGAAAGATGAGGAGATCATACAATTAGAGAGAAGAAACGAGGAGGCTTTGTCTTCATAAATTTTCTCTTGCTTTTAGTCTTTTTTCTTGAAAGTTTTTATTGTCTGTTATATATTTTGAAGTTTTCGATATTTTTTGTTGAAAAAATATAGGAAAAGTATGCATAAAAGAAAGAGTTTTGTGTAGTTTTCAGAGAATAATCGATTTAATCTGAAATTGAAAGTTTTATTTGAATATTTAAAGACAATCAACCTTTTTTTTTCTAAGAAAAGAAATGTTTCATTTCCGCTTCCAAAAAAAATTAGCTACTTACTCCCAAATACGGAACAATTTTTTTATTTATTAATGCTTTCTCTCTAAGTTGAGCCTAAATAAAACGAGAACGAACGTTATGAAGATAAAGGTTGATAAATATACATGTGATTATTTGAATTTTTTATGTGAAAAAGATTTCTCCAAGTTTACCACACTAAAAAGATGAAATAATTACTTTTATACTCACAAATTTGTCTTTTAAAAAGAAAAACCTTTCATTCATATAAACCGAAATGATTTGTTGAGTTATAGAATATAATCGTAAATCATTTATGTTTGTTCATTTTTCATTCACTTACAAGTATTATAGACTGATAAGACGTTATGAGTCAAGACGAGAATTTTGTGCTCTTTTCGAGTATGGACTCAGAAATTGTCTGTCTGTTTTTCCTCGAGAGTCTTGAGAGAGTCTCAAAATAATCAATTCTAACAGATAATGTTTTTATACATTTTCGTATTTTCATTATATGAAATTCGAAATTACATGTTGAAATATTTGTTCACTTATCAACTTGTGGAGAAAAAACTGTTCTACAAAATGTACGATTTTATTTTCGTTTTCGTCTTTCGATAAAGTACCTAAACTATTGTTTTCGAATCACACTTATTTTTGGAAAATCATTTGTTCTGATGAAACGGTACTTTATGTCTTTTAACAGCTTCAGACATATGTGGTTAGTAAAAGTCTATTTGTTCGTCATACTAACGAATTTTTCAAGCCTTTGAAAGATTCACTGATTACTCTCTAGCAAAAACAGACAAAAAATTTCTAAGCTCATATTCAGGAAGAACAAAAAAAATTTGGTTCTAACCTATAGTGTCACAGCCGTCTGAAAAACTTTCACATCATCCATTATTATAAAATTTCCTATGTTGAAATTTTTGAAATAAAAAACAAGAGAAGCTCAAATTTTATCAATAATATAATAATTGAATAATCTAAATCGAATAAAGGCAAGAGCATATGGCTTATATTTTTTATAAAATTCGACATGATTTAGATGTTTTAGTTAATCAATGGATATTGAATCGTCGTCATCAAATATTGATGAACTATCAAATCGTAACAATAATTCAAATGATACAAACGAAGAATCATCAAGTACTCATCTTTCAACATCAAATATAATTGGTACACATCCAAATGAAATAATAACAAGTATAAATCCTGATAATGGTTATCCTGTTCGACAAGAAAATGGTCAACGTAAAACAGGTCCGCCACCTGATTGGCCAACAACACGTCAACCACCAAGTCGGGGTTGTGAAGTATTTGTTGGCAAATTACCTCGTGATTGTTTTGAATCAGAATTATTTCCATTATTTGAACGTTGTGGACAAATTTATGAAATGCGTTTAATGATGGATTTTTCAGGTTATAATCGTGGTTATGCATTTATAACATATACAAATCGTGATGATGCTAAACGTTGTGTTAAAGAATTAAATAATTATGAAATACGTTCAAATCATTTAATTGGTGTATGTCAATCTGTTGATAATTGTCGTTTATTTGTTGGTGGAATACCTAAAACAAAAAAACGTGAAGAAATACTTGAAGAAATGTGTAAAGTAACTGAAGGTGTTGTTGATGTTATTGTTTATCCAAGTGCAAATGATAAAACAAAAAATCGTGGTTTTGCTTTTGTTGAATATGAAAGTCATCGATCAGCAGCTATGGCTAGAAGAAAATTATTACCAGGTAATATTCAATTATGGGGACAACAAATAGCTGTTGATTGGGCGGAACCAGAAAATCAAGTTGATGAAGATATTATGGCAAATGTAAAATTATTTATTTTATTTTTCTATATATTTTTTTTTTTGTTGGATATTTAGGTTCGAGTTCTTTATGTACGAAATTTAATGATGAGTACAACAGAAGAACAAATAAAAGAAGTTTTTGAACGATTTAAACCAAATTCAATTGAACGTGTCAAAAAATTAAAAGATTATGCATTCGTGCATTTTAAACAACGTGATGATGCTTTACATGCTATGAATCTTATGAATGGTATTACGATTTTAATTTGCATTGTTTCTTTCTTTTTTTTAGTTTAATTTTTTTTGCTTGTTTTAGGTTGTGAATTGGATGGATCGATTGTGGAAGTTACATTAGCTAAACCAGTCGATAAAAATCAATACTTTAGATTTACACGTGGTGTTAGTCCATCTGCATTGACTGCCAACTTACCAGTAATTTTTTAATATGTCTTTTGTTTTTTCAAAATAATTCTTTTCTTTATAATAATAGTTTGCAATACCAGCTGGTACTATTGGTCCAGCTACTGCATTTGATTTCACAGCTATACCATACTTAACCATTCCCACAACAAATACAACACAAATGCAAATGACCAATGGTACAACAGTGATTCCTGTGGCTGTAAATCCTCTTCAACAAAAGTGAGATTTTGAATTAGTTGATAGAATAAAATCTAAGTCTTGCTTTACTCTGAACTCTTTACCTCATGTTAGGTTATTTTTTATCTATTCTTAGAAACTATCTATTTGATCTAATAAAGCATCGGGTCGAGACGGCTTCCGAACATTGTGCAGAATCTTAAATAAGCTATAATGTCTGTAAGAGAATAGATTTCTTTTCGTCATGCCGTGGCTAGTTAGGAAATCTCTGCAGATGTCGAATCGCTTTTCGACCGGAACGATGTTTATTTGATGAATGGTAGTGAATAATAGAAAAATCTTGAATAGTTTAGTTTTCTGGGTCTTTGGTCTTGAGATACCAAATTTTTACTGACTTCTTCAACAAAGAACTGTAGTCTTTCTCATGTCATCTAGAAAACCGACTTTCGAATATTGAATATCTCAAAATAGGAGATACTAGAAGAGTTCCGACTTTCCCAATGATTGTGAACTTTGTTCTGGTAAAGTTTGAAATGAAATGTTGAAAATCGATTTTCCAGGTGATTTGCAGAGGACTACGACTTTTTGTTGAAAGACCCATTAAAACTTCACCATTTCAAGAATAAAGACTCACAAAATCAAATCATTTTGGGCTTTTCTATTACTCACTAGTATCCATCTAATAAATATTATCTTGGTCGGTAAGGGATTTGACAGCTGCGAAGGTTCCCTCATAACTTTTATGAGTTGAAAAACGGCGTGTTTTTCAAAAAGAGGAAAATATCTGTTTCTGTTTCTTTTTCCTGTTTGTTTTCTTACAGAGAGAAATTATTCTAATGTTGGTAAGGTTGTTATATACTACTACAGGAATAATCTATTTGCAGGACAGCTTTTAAAGGACTATTGAATATAGATGTGAAAGTAGCATTTTTCATGACAACTTGAGTTATTCTTTATCTATTCGTAGTGAGTAACACGAAAATTAGTTTTTCTAGAGTTATTTTGTTATTGATATAAACTCATAAAATAGCACAATCTTCATACTAAAAATTTTATTAAAACTAATAACCAGTCAAAAACCATTTTGTAGTCATTTTCAAATAATTTTCGTCGATAAAAGATAGAAACCTGCAGTTTCTTTTATAGTCTTTCTTTCGGATGAGACTTTATCAATAGAAATGGGTAACTTTGACTCAGAATCAGAATCAGAACCAATGATTCCATATTTAAAAAAGAAAAGGAAGATTAAAGCTTTGCCGTACGATCACGAAAATGCAAGAGCTGATTTAAATAAAAAATAAGCGCATTTGCAAGTGTCTAACCATGACTCATCCATTGAAATGAATCATTTTATAAAAAAACTCATAGTAAGTAGGTCTCCGGTTTCATACAGATAAAATAACAACATAACTGTGAGAAGCCATAAAAAATCAAATTAACTATAAATCCAATTTTCAAGTTATTAAAGATGAATGGGTCACTTTTTATCCCTTCTACATATCCAATAGAGACTGACACTACGAGAATAAAATTATCCAAACTGGAACTAAAGATTATACTTAGATATTCTACGGTTTTAGGCAAATTTTTTTATAAATCATCAGTCAGAACAAAATTCAAGAGAGATAGCCTAAAAACGCTGCTAGTCGTCGACTAAATAAATCAAAAAAAGAGTATTGAATAATTTTTTGGATATGATACGAATAGATTCAATGAAAAAAAGTTACCAGGAACAAAAGAACTTGATTTCGTGTTTCTCTAGTCTCCATAGTGAAATGATTTTGCATAAGCTTAACTAAACCGGTGTCCATAGTTAGCACTTATTTAAGTTATTCCTGTCGTTGACTCAACACTAACTCTACTGGATTAGTGCTAGAAGTTAAAGGATTAAATTGTTGTCTTTACCTAAATTAGTCTTTTATAAATTCCATTCATTAAAAATTAATTTTTTCGTCTGTGAACAAGTTCATAATAATTTCGAGTAGAATATATTTATTTTTATAAGTTAAATAAGATTATCTAATAGAAGTATTCGTCGATGTGTGAATGCTACCGGTCGTCTATCTACAAATGGAAATACAAGTCCACCATTATTAAATCGAACAAATCCAACAGGCGTTCTTTCATCATCATCTCGTCCAAGTCAACCATCACCAAATATAGTTCATCATCGTGGTGCTTATTATACAATTCTTCGTCCAACATCACGTCGAACTGATGTAGGTGTTTTTTCTTTTTGATCGAAGAAAAAAAAAACGACATAATGCATATCGTTTTTTCTTGTTACTTTGTGTGATTTCAATGCTCCGCATGGCTTAACTGATAATTTTTTGTAATTTTCATCATAGGAAAAGTGTCTCGAAGATCTCTACAAAGAGACTTACGACGCGCTGTACAGCTCAGCTGCTAATACCACCGCTCCATCGATAATGATGATCGATCCGAATCAGCCTCAGTTTGTTTTATCGGACCAACAAACCCACCAGCAGCAGTCAGAAGAGGTAATTTTCTTACCAGGGTTTTGTTTTCTTCAATCGATGAATACATAAAATTATTTTCAGTATTTAACAGCTGCTTGAGGAGTAAGAAATGATTATACTAATCTAAATCTTCTACTTTTCTATTGTCAGATTACACAAAAAATTCCCTTTTTTTTTTTTGTTTTTTTTTTTTTTTTGATAATTTTTATGCATGTTAATCTTATATATTTTGCTAAAAGTTGAGTTCAGCTGCACATGTCCTATTCCACAAATAATTAATTTTCTTTGAAATTCTATAAAAATGTTGTTTTTTCCTTTTGATAAAAATAGATTTCATTTACTCCAACAGCATTCGGTTTTCCTTCCGGAACTCCTTTATTTCAACCAGCTGCGTTATTTCCTCATCCACTTTTTGCTGGACATCCAGCTAATGCTCAACCATTTCCTCAACAATCATTTGTTTTTGCAACAACAGGCAATAATGGACAAACTCAACAATTTTTCCAAGCTCATCCTCAACCAAATTTTGCTTTTCCATTTATATTAACTTCACCATTAGCAACACCACAAACTCAAACATCAACTAATCCTGAAACACCAGTTTATAATTATACAACACCAACACCAACGGTTTCAACTACAGAGAGTAGTACTTATTCGGCTTAATAAAAATAACTTTATATTTGCATTTTATACGTTTTCACTTTTTTTTTCTTTTGGTATTTGATGAGAGTGCAAGTCACTCTCTTTAAATATTGTTTTTTTTTTTATTCAGCATATGCTGATCACGGTCAGTATGTGAGCCGTATCTTCTTTTTCTTCTTCTTGTTTTTTACATGTGTGCAATCATTAATAGGAAAAATGTGTTCAACATAACTTGTTTTTTTGTTTAAAAAGAAATGTACAGGTTGGAAATAATATTTTTCCGGATTGGTACGACTCGAAATACAAACGATATCAACATTGAATATTATACTAAATGTAAACTTGTTGAAAACAGAAGTTAAACAGTATAACAAGTGATTCATAGATTAATCATGAGCTAGAGGTTTAAGAAAAGTTCCGAAATTTTAGACATAAGTAAAGAATATGAGTTAGAAAGTTGCTGGCCCTTTGACAATTGGGTCCAAAGTTTAATTTATTGTCAGGTCCGAATCTAATCTACAAAAGTAGAGACCAACAGCTCTCTATTGGAAAGTGTCGACTAAAAAATCTATATTATTAATTGTTTTGAATAATCAACAGTCAAGTGCTACAAATTCGACGCAAAAAGTATTAATTTCCAGCTTAACTCAATCTAGAATAGCTGTTTCATATTGTGCACATGTTTAAAACTTATTGATACTTGTTTGACCATTGTACACTGTCGGTTTTTTTTTATTTTGATAACTATGAGTTTACTTACACAGTGAATTTACCAGAAAATCATTTAAATTTAAGGCTAAAATTTTCATCCTTCACTTGTACATGTGCATAGTGGATATCAGTATTAATGCAAAACAAGCTCTGATCAGAGTACACGTTTTTCTGAACCTGTAGCGACCTACTATGCATAGTCAACCACAAAAACCAAATAGGTCATTGGGTATTTTCCGCCTGTCAGACTTTATAGAACTTTCTTTGCTGTTCATTGCGACATACGGATCTTTTTAATCTGATGAATTAATGATGATGTTGCGGTTAAAATACTGGAAAAAACTATACGCCTATCAGACAGAGTTGTTTCAGATTTTCCAGTTTGTTGACCCTAACAATTGTCATTTACTTATCAAATTGACAAAAATCTTCATGTTAAGATCATCGGTAAAAATAACTCTACAAAAACTGAAAGGCGAAAAAATTCTCATGACCTATTTGACTTTTTGTGGTTGACTGCCCATAGTGTTTCTAATGTTATGTCTTAACTTTTTGAACTTTTGATAATTCTATAGCTTATCATTAATCTATAAATTGCTTGTTATACTATTTAAATCTCTTTTTTTTTGCAAGCTTTCATTTGATATTAAATTCAATGTTAATCTCATTTGTACTTGGAGTTACAAGAGCCCTGAAAAATATTATATTCAATTTTAGAAAGAATATTTAGATAATTGAGAATAATTTTTTCTATAAGGTTTGTCATAATGCATCATCAATAATAAAATATAATCGATCAACTTTAATAAAAGAAATATTAACATGACAAATAATTGAGAAATCTTTCGTCTAGTCATTAATCAATGTTAGTTAATAGGAAATGCGAAAACCTTTAAAGTTCATCTAAAATATTATTCATACAGCTGTCATACTATGACTAATATTGATATCCTAGATATTAGTTATTTGGATGGCATTTACAATTAATGAAAATCATAGCAGGAAAATATCTCTCTTTCAAAAATAATTTCTCATTCGTTAACCAATCCTAATAATTGGTTGCGTGAAAGGTTTCGCACAAAATATTTGCTCATTTTTCATACACTTAAAGACAACTGACCAGATAGAATCACAATTCTTTTCTATTTCCGAATATGTTTACTTTTTCTTTCTGAGATATGATTAAATAACTATCAGTAAATTTTGTAATTAAGTCCAAAACTGTATAAAATAAGATATTTGGAGAAGCAAAATTTCATCTACGAGTTTCCATTAAAGAGTTAGTTTCTATGGAAATAACTCTTTTAAAAACTGCTTTTTAATAATACAAGTTTTAAAATTTAATATACAAGATAGAGCTGACAAGTAACTATCATGCTATGTAAAAGTCTTTGGAAAAATATCAACTTACGTTAGACAATATTTTCAACTTCTAAATCAATGAAATCTTTTTTTCCTTGGAAAGAGCAAAGTCTGAACTACATTTTTTTTTGTCAGACTTGTTGTTTTCTGAACGAATCTACAAAGCAGAAGGAGCCAAGAATCAAATCCCTTTAAAATAGTTCTTGCAACATTTTTTCAACGTGAAATTTTTCTATTTCTCAATTATCTTGAGCTACATGACATTGATCAAATTCTAACAAATAGTACATCAAAATGTGGCATATTGAAAGTTCTATCGATATCAGCTTTGATAATTTTTTTAAGACTAGCTCTTGACTCTTTAATTAAAAAAAATGAAAAATTGAAATTTTTCTAAAATAGAATCTTTTACAAGAACTATCAATTTGGAAAGAGATCAATCAGAATCTTCAAAAACACTATGAACTGAAATCTATATGTGTTATTTGTTTCATATAAGTCAGATTCTAGAAACTTAGCGGAAAAAAACGAATTCAAAAATCCTCTTTTATTATTACACAACGGTCAAGTAGTAACAAAGACCAAATTATACAGTGGCATCCAGAAAGAGCAGCATTTTTCTAAAGAAATCAATACTAAATTTAACTTCGAATGCACCATTGAAAAAAGCACTCTTTATGCTACAAAAATCATCATTAAACGTGCGTTTTCATTTTGCTTTGGATATCAAAAAAAAAATGAAAAGAAAATAGAAAATGATATTGCGCGAAGGTGAAGTTGCAAGAACATTTTTAGAAATGTTTGATTTTTTGCTTCTCCTACTCCTTAGATTTGTTCAGAAAAATAAGTCTGCCAAAGAATTTGATTGGTTTTTGGAAAAAGAGAAAAATTCTGATTCAAATTGCCTGTAATAAGTTGTCTTTGAGGGTATCAGACTCTCTTTTGGACTACTTCTGACTGTCCGTGAGAGTAGAACTTGTCAGGAGCAATTTTTTATCAAGGCTAGACTATCGAAAATGATGGTGGGACTCATGCTTGAAAAAATAGTTTTTAAAAGCAAGTCTTCAAGGACGTTTGAGCGAATTTTCAAAAACCCTCGTGTCTGCTTACGAGTATTGTTATACTTTGTTCGATTGGATTGAAGTTTTTTCTATAGGTACCTAGAACAAAGTCGCAGACATATTTTAAAAATTTTTGAAAAATATCGATTTTTAATTAAAAAGTAAGGGGAGAATTAGCTCAAAAACTGTTTTTTCTATCTATTGCTTTTCATGTTTGTTTTAATTAAAAATTGAGAATTTTATTTTTTTCAAAACGTTTAAAAATACGAATTGAGATTTTATTACAGATACCTTCAGAAAAAATTTCAGTCCTGTCGGACAAAGTATAACCGGACTCGTAAGTCGATTCGATGGCTTTTGAAGACTTCTTCAAACACCTCTGAAGACTACTTTTAAAATTTTTCCTTGGCCAGAAGTGATCTAAACGAAGAGATTATCCTTAGGTAACCGAAAAATGAGTGAATATTTTATGCAAATACTTTTACGTCATAGATTAATTAGTTTAACTTACTAGTCCAATTCATTGTTTTCTATTTGTCTATAAGCAAAATTCAAAAATATAATGAAGACTCTCATTATAATACCTTGCTTGTCATAATTATAACCAGTGTTAGTTTATATTTTTATAAACATAATATCTACTAAACTTAATAAGAGGTTAGGACACTTATAATAAAGAAAGACATTATTGATCTGATATATGAGGCGGAAAGATTTATAAATGTCACTGCAGATTTATCTTATTTGGCTATTTGAAGACGAAAAAAAATAACGATAATGAAGAAGAAAACTGACATAGTATATATTGTATACCGGATCCACTCGGGAAATGTCATCTGGAAAAAAATAGAAGCATGATTCAAGCTAATTTTATTATTGTTATGATGAAAGATAAAATCAATCGACCTAGTTTTCATCAAACAAAAAAAATTTATTATCAATAGAGAAAAAAAGCTTCTTATTTTATTTTTGTTCTAATGATAAATACATAAGACAACAAGCCCTCGCCATTATAATGTCGTATAATCACAATCACAATAATAACATCTATTGCCATTCGCGAGTTCTATTAATACCAAGGCTTTCTTCTTGCTTAACGTTCTTTTCTATTCTTATTTTGCTATTTTGTACATGTAGTTTGATATCGCTGTGCTTGGTTACATGCACATGAAAGCGAAAGAATAAGAAGATATTTTTCTCGTCTTTCTGTATAGTCAATAAGAAAGAATTGCCGTTGCTTTTTGGGGTCCGAATGCTTCTTGTTTTTTTTTGGCTCTTTTCCTAAGCAATGAGAAAATGAGATAGGATATTCTAAGTAAAGACACACATAAACACGACAACAACTGATTGAATTCTCGTTGTTAGTTTAAAGTAAGACATGAATATAGCATCAGGTCTTGGCGCTTTTAATAAAGATAAAGTTGCCAATAAATTTGGTATACAATTAAAACCAAAAGATGCATCCCACAAAACATCAAATCCATTACCAACAAAAACCGTGACAACTCCAGAATTATTGAATGTGACAAAAAATAAAACAATTAGTGATTTTCGTACAGACAATAATGCCAATGGATTTTTATCGAATACAAATCGTATTACTACATCAAAGACATCAGAAACAGCAAAAAAACCTACTGAACAAGCACCGACAAAAAAACCTACTGAGCAAACTACAACAAAGAAATCCACTGAACAATCTACAACAAAAAAATCTTCTGAGCAAACCATAACAAAAAAATCTACTTCGGAACCTGTGAATACATCTGTAAAGAATGACCAACCTCGTTCTTTAACCACAAATGTTAATCATTCCACGAAGAAGTCAAAAGAATCTTTATCAACGAAATCTCCTGAAGTATCGAAAAAGTCTACTGTATCATCCACTGAACAAGCTGTTTCATCAACATCATCTGTCAAACAACCCACTGCAGCACAGACAACGAAATCTAAAAATGAAGCTCAAGTTGAACATCAAAAAGATCAACCATTATACAAACGACAATTATCAAAAACATTGGAGAATACATCACCAACAGTAAATAAAAATACAACAACAACAGCAACAACAGCAAATGCATCGACAACTTCATTAAAAAGGTAAGAAAACAAAATATTTTTTTAAAATTTCATAACTAGCAAATTCTTCTTAAAAGTATGAAAGCAGTTTATTGTTTTTTTTTCTTTTCTCAAATGTTTTAATGGGATTGAATGCTTTATAACCTTCAATTCTAAAATGCGTAAATTCATGTATTCATACTAAAAACATTAATAGAAAAATTATGTTCGTTATTTAAAAGAAGAAAAAAAAAAGAAAACAATCATCAAACATCGATGATTACTAATCATCATCAAGCATACATTTCAATCATGTGATTTGCTTTTATACATTCCGAAAAAATTTATCTATAAGATATGTCTCTTTGTCTGTCGTCAACGTATATACAATACCCATATTCTCCTTATGGTTCTTTTTCTTTGCATACGTGTAATCTGATGCTTTCTAACACATTATTTTTCTCTGATCTTTTTTCTCTATCATAATCAACTTGAAAAAAAAAAAGAAAAAAAAAAGACAAATGTAAAATGTCTCGACATAAAAAAGCAATGAGCTTTGTTCAATTGCTCGTCATAACTTAACAGAAAAACCTTGACCTTGATATACAATTTTTACATAATAATATGACCTTTATAAGCGGACGCTTGCCAGTGCACTTGTATTTAATGACTCACATTAGAGAAAATCAATGTTGCGATGTACAAAAAAACTCGCACCAAGAGAAAAACGAAGGACAAGAATAGACGTACTGAAAAGCTTTTACATATAAATGAAAATCAGCTGTTTTCATGTATAAATCATTTGCAATATTTTAAAGAAGTAGTTATTCTTATATATTATTAAATTAAAGAATTAATTATTCTTTATCTATAATATTAAATTAAGAAATAAATGTCGTATTTCATAATATATCTTTTCGTGTATTTATGTTCTATTTTTGTAGAAAATTATTATCATTACTATCATAATCGAATTTTCTTTTTTTTTCCTTTCTTTTCTTCATCAATACCTACGCATACGACTGATTTCTCCTTCAAATAAAACGGCGACTATACTATTGCACAGTGTGCATGCGTGTCAGGTTGAAGTTGAAATACATAGGTATACATGTGCATTATGTTACGTTTTTTTCTTTTTTTGATATTTTATTATTATTATTGTCGTCGTCATAGCTGATGAAATAGATCAACGTGGTGAGTTATTTGTTATAGTTATAAAAATTTTATGGTTCCTCGGTATTGAACATAAATAAAGTAAAAAGACAAAAAGAGAGAGAAAGCAAAAAAAAATGGCATCATCAACGTTCACTCAAAGATGGACATCCGTCAATGATTTGACGGCAAATAGCAACAAGAAAAACCAGTTAACTACATTTTTTCTACAAGCATCATCATCACCAGATTCTAATAAATTTACATTTACATCCCGACCTTCACAATCATTGCTCTCACTAATCGAACCATCATCATCACCTCCTCCTCCTCCTCCTCCTCGTCCTTATCCGCGCCCTCGTCCTACTGGCCCATCTGAACAAACAAAGCCAGTTCCATCTCGTGTTGCTGATATTATTAATCGATTCGAATCTCATAGTCTGTCATCAATGAATAATAACCCAAACAAAGTATCTCCTTCAACTCGTAATATTTTTACTCAACTATCTGAAGAAAATTCATCTAGAAATCCACCTGTTATTGGACGTGAAACTTCTTCAATTTACATTCCATTAAATTCCAAAAAGGATAATAAACCACAACCGATTATTGTCTATGAAAAGATAATTCATTGTGATAGATTATATAAGTCTAAATCAACATCTCCATCCGTTGCTCCAAAAAGTCCTTTAGAAAAAACATATCTTCAAAATCCAATAATACCTCAACAAAATGTTGAAAGTGATACTGATTCTGCTATACAAACAATGCCTGCTGTGATAAAAAATGATTTAAATTATTCAACTACAATATCACGTTCAAGCACATCTGATTCAAATTGCTCATCTTTGTCTTCATCTGATTCTTCGCAAGATTTACATTTTGCTCTTTCTCCAATAGCTTCAACACAAAAACAACGTAATATTAGTTTTAATTCATCATATTCTAAAGAAACTGATTCTCATTCTTCACCACCTACAACAACGTTTAATCGTACAATACCTACAACAACTTCTATAGTTAATGAAAATTTTGAACCATCACAAACACATTCACTTACGACACGATTTTGCTCATCTGAAGCTAATATAGCTGGTCAATATCGTCAATTATCTTCTGATGCTATTCAATCAGATACATATTTAGTGCACAATTCAACGAAAAAAACATTTATTAATACAAATCTGCCATTAAAATACAAACGAGATTCACTTGTCCGACTATATGGGTAACACATGCATACATACTACTAACACTTTACTCTATGAAAACAATAATTTTAACATTCTCTTGTGCTAGTCAAATGTTAGACTGTTCCGATTAATTAGAAAAAATTTAATTAATATAACTACTAATAACAAATGTATTTATTATTTAGACCTGATGTATTATTAGAACATGGTCCTCATACATCTCATGATGTCATACTTGAAGATGGTATTTGAAAAATATTATCTTAAGCATGTATCTATATTTATATATTTTAGATATTGATCCACCATTTGCACCGCGTACTGTTGTAGTACAAAAGAATAAACCTATAACAGATCAATATGAACTTCTGGAATTTCTTGGAAGGTAATTTAAGATATTTGTTTTTCTTTTCTTTTATATTGAAAATCAATAATTAAAAATTTAGAGGAAAATTTGGTGAAGTAAAAAAATGTCGTGAACGAGCAACAAAACATTTATTAGCTGCAAAATTTATACAAATTAATAAAGAACAAGATCGTACTGAAGCAGTTAATGAAATTGAAATAATGAAAGCACTTCAACATCCAAGACTTTTACAACTTTATGATGCTTTTGAAACAAAATCAGATATTTGTCTTATTATGGAATTGTAAATATTTCATTTGTTTTGAAAAAACAAAGAAAATTGTTCTTTATTCGTTTTTTTTCTGCATTTAAGAATTACTGGTGGAGAACTATTTGAACGTGTTATTGATGATGATTTTATATTGACAGAACGTCTTTGTGAATTATATATGATGCAAATATGTGAAGGAGTGAATTTTATGCATTCATGTAATATTATTCATCTTGATATGAAGGTTTCAAAGTTCTTTTTTTTATGTTTTTATTTCGAGATTTATTAATCTTTTTTTTTTTAATTTTAGCCCGAAAATGTTTTATGTTTAAATCGAAATGGTCATCGAATAAAAATTATTGATTTTGGTCTTGCTCGAAAATTTGATCCAGATCGGCAACTTAAAGTGTTATTTGGTACACCAGAATTCGTTGCACCAGAAGTGATCAATTTTGATCGAATAGGATATGGTACGGATATGTGGTACGTTATTAAACTAAAATCATTTTTCAGTTATTTATTTTATGTTTTTTTGTTGTCAGGTCTGTTGGAGTTATTTGCTATGTTTTGTAAGTAGTTGAATGAAAAAAAAAAGGTAATGTAAAAAAAAAACAGAAGAGATTATATTTATTAAGATTGTCCGGTTTGAGTCCATTTATGGGTGATAATGATAATGATACATATACAAATATAAATCGAGCTAATTATGATTTTGATGATGAAGCATTTACTGATATATCAGATGAAGCAAAAGATTTCATCTCAAAATTACTTGTCAAAAATAAAGAGTATCAATTTCATGAAAAAATATTTTTAATATATGTAAATATTTTTTCTTTTTTTATTATATAGCAAACGTCTTCAAGCTAAAGAATGTCTTACTCATTCATGGTTAACTCGTCGACCAAAATTAGTTTCAACTCCTAAGGATGAAGAAACAGCTGAAAAGAAATTATCAACAAAAAAATTACGCAGATTTGTCATACGAAGACGTTGGCAGGTTAGTCAAAGTTTTTGTTTTTACATATTAATTTAATTAAAATTGAATATTGTTTTATTCTTTAGAAAGCAGTCAATGCTTTGTTAGCATTGAAACGTATGGGAATGACGTTGTGAAAAAAATCACGACTCAACTTACATTTTTCTTCTCTATCCTATTATTCGCACTATATTTTATATTCGAGTCGCGCGTCTTTCACAAACAAACATTGCTTTTCCTGTTTGTTTTTTATTTTTACTATTTTATTTTTTTTTCGCTGTTATTACCTGTGGTTCAATTCAATTTGTTCGCCCAGAGAATAGTGTGTGTGTGTGTGTGTGTTTATGAAAGAGTGAGGATTCGATGTTCGTGTGTACATTATTATTCATATTCTTACTTCTACTATAAGAAAAAAAACTAAACGATATGAAAAGAAAATTAAAGATGAGACAATTTTTTTAAATATTTCAAGATTTTTTTATAAATTCGATTATTTGCAAAAGAAATTAACAAATAGATATAATTTATTCAGCATATTTTGGTTGAACAGTACTTTGTATAGGTAATGCTTGTATAAGTGATATAATGTTTTACATCAGCTACAATTAGTGCATCTAAGTTGTATTGAATTAATCTATAATCAGTAAAATTGACAAATAAAACTTTTAATCTGAAATATTATGAATCTGCTTTTTAACATTAGAGAAGAAAATTTTTAGTAATGTTTTTGATATAATATTAATTCAAAATCAGGTCAAACTAGGGACGGATCCGGGATTTCTTTTTTGTATGCTGGATCTCAACTTCAGAGCATCGGACCTAAACAAAACTTATGGAGAGTGATATTGGACCCAAATGATGAGTTTTAAAAAAGAAATTTTTGCGATCCTATTTTGTGAATAAAAATGTTTTTTTAACCGTCACCCCTCCTAATTGCTTTTTCTTTTTAATAATATTCCATTTTTACAATTTAATCGTCATCTACGTCAAATTTCATTCAAAAATATGGATCTGTTCAAGAGATATAACATTTTGAATTTTTAGAAAATATCGCGAAAATTGTAATAAAAATACAAAACGTTATATCTCTTGAACAGATCCATATTTTTGGATGAAATTCTAAAAAATGGAATATTATTAAAAAAATTAGGATGGGTGACGGTTGGAAAAAAATTGTTTTTTTCGCAAACTCTGATTACAAAATGTTTTTTTTAACTCATCATTTGGATCGAATATCATCCTCCATAAGTTTCATTTAGGTTCCATGCTCTGAAGCTGAGATCCAGCATAAAAAAGATCCTGGATTCGCCACTGAGTCAAGCACTAGTTCAGATTTGTTTACTAAGAAGAATTAGAACCCTTTTTTGCTACTCAATTGAAGAAAAGTAGAAATTATTTTTTAGTTTCAAAAAGATTTTCTATATCACAAAATAACTTACGTTGCATCAATTCCATATTGACCATCAAATAGACGAGTTTTATTATATAAATTTTCATAATCATTAGCTGTGAAGTTTGTTTGAGTTTCACTTAAAATAAATGTATTTTGATTTGGAGAATATTCATCATGGAATTATTGATCAGTATGTTCTATATTAAATTTAATTAAATCTCTTAATGATTTCATTGTTCTATTTTCAAGTTCAGATAAATAATATGATATATGATGACGAAAATTATAATGAAAAACTGATCCCAAATTGTTAAATTATATTTTTATCACCAATACCACTTATATTAACTGGATAAAGGATAGTTGCACCATGGAACCGCATTAATTCAATAGCTTTTTATAGTTTATCTTCTCTTTCATTTGATATATTAATATCTATGAAACAGTATTAAATTTTGATTTAATAAAGAAAATTTACCTTGACGTATAACACCTAATCGAAGATATCGAAGTCCTTCAACACCAAGTAAAAATTGAGTATAATTTTGATGACGAATGATTCTTGTTTGTTGTGTTGCATTATCTCGATTATCAATACCTTGTATAACTTCTATAAAATAAACAAAAAAGAAATAAACAAAGGTTTTTCATTAAGCATAAAATTTATTTGTTTAATATACCGAGTAGAAGAGCAACATCTTCAACAGTTTTACCCATAGGTCTAACTGTATCATGATCATATGAGATTGGAGTAACACTTGAACGTGATGTTAAACCAACCGTTGATTTCAGACCAACAATATCTGCAAGACTTGAAGGCATAACAATACTACCAGCAGTTTCTGTTTCTATAGCAGCTGCACATAAACCCGCACTTGTAGCAATAGCTGAGCCACTACTACTTCCTGATGGATCTCCATTAGCAACATAAGCGGAACTGAAAAATATCAAAACATTGTTTTTGAAAAAAGAAGAAAACACATTCATTTCAATTTACCTGCTTGCATCACCTCGTGCAGACCATCCTTCTCTGGTGCTATTATCTGATTTAAAATGACTTCATTCTGTCAATGATGTTTTACCTAAAATAATTGCATCTACTTGTATTAATCGTTGAACAACAAATGCATCACAAGGTACACGAGACCCAACAAGTGCTAAACCACCAGCTGTTGTTTCCATTCTATCATTTGTTGCAATATTGTCTTTAATTAAAATAGGAATTTCATGAAGTAATGATCTTGAACCATGCAGATGTTGTTCTTGATCGAGTGCATCGGCAATCGTTAGAGCATCAGGATTTGTTTCAATAACAGCATGAAGTGAATATAAGCCTTGTCGATTAATAGCATCAATACGAGTTAAATACCAACGTACAAGACCAAATGATGAATAACGACAAGCTGATAGATCTTCTGCTAAACTTTCAATAGTTGCTGTAATTGAATCTATCCAAGGAATGTCAGTATAAGTTGTACAAGAATGAAAAGATCTCGGAGAATTTATTAATATATGTACATTATCTAGATGATATAAAAAAAATCTTTTCTTTTTTATCTTGAATATTTGGTTCTCTTCTCATCTTACTTTGTATGGCCTTGCTCTTTGTAATTATCAAAAAAAAAATGAACTGATAATGTTTAATATTAAAGTTGAATTAGTTGACATTATCACATAATACATTTATTTTTGTTGGTTAGTTTTTTCGTTTACTATAGTGTAACAATTCTGATTTATATTTATCATCTTACGCGTGATCGTTTGTATTTTTATTTAATCATTCTCTTACTAACCCGATTGCACAATGATTCATTCGCTTGTCAGTATTATTATGCTTTCATATGTACTATCCGTCAAAATTAGCGACTTTTTTTCCTGTTGTTCATGTAGATCAGAGATATACATATTAATACTTAAGACGACTGTTTTCATCTTCAAACTAATTCTGAAATAAAATATCTGCGATATAAGTGAAATCAATAGTAAAGTGAAAAAATAAAATAATAGATATTATCGCATTATATGAAGATTTCTAGCGATGTTTTGATAAACCAATCATTAACAAAAAAAATTCGCGTATGGTCTTTCTATTTAGGAAATTCCATAAATAGCTCCAAAATAAAACTTTAGCTATATTTTATTAGTCTTTATTTTGGAAATACCATCTTGACGAATAAAACTTCTCTTTCAATTGGTCGCAATTTCACAATGTGCATTATCATCTTTATACTTTGTTCTATTAAGTTTTTTCGAGTTGTTTGTTGATAGAATAAATGTATATCAAGAACAAAAGAAAATCTTCTTATCAATAGTGACAAGCAGAACAGTGTTGAAAAACATAAATCGAGGTGTGAAAATTATCTTTACATCAACAAGCAAAGAAAAGGTCATATGTTTATCTTTTACGTAGGAAAAAAAAACAGAGAAAAGTAAAATAAAACTATTAATATATTAACAATTTTGGATTTATATTACTTAAGAAGTCTATAAATAAGAACATTATTTTAATGAAATATCTAATATAAATAATTATAATGAAAAAAAAAAAAAAAATCAAGTATTTTTTATTTAAAGTTCTTTTCGAATAGCATCTTCTAAAACATTAATAGCAAAATCTGCATCTTCAATTGTAATACACATTGGTGGTTTTATACGAAAAACATTTCCAAAATTTCCACCTTTACCTAATAATAATCCATTATCTCGACAACGATTTAAAATTGCATTCATTTTTTCTACTGGAAATGGTTTACGTGATTCCTATTTAATTAAAAAACGATCAAGTAATTAAATGTTTCTATATGGAATCATTTTTTTTTGCTATTACTTTATCTGTAACCATTTCCATTCCAATAAGTAAACCTTTTCCACGAACATCACCAATAACATTAGGTAATTGATCACGTAATTTTGCTAAACTTTTTAATAAATGTGTTCCAACTCGAAGAGAATTTTCTTGTAATTTTTCATCTTTAATAACATCAAGTACAGCTGATGCAACAGCACAACCAATAGGATTTCCACCATATGTATTAAAATAATTTCCAACAGTTTTAGCTATTTCAGGTCGAGTTACAATAGCAGCAAAAGGAAATCCATTAGCTATTGCTTTAGCCATAACAACTAAAATAAAATAAATATTAAATAAATTTTTTTACTTTTTAAAATTTCATTTACCAATATCAGGTTTAGCTTCATGTGCTTGATAACCCCAAAAATGAGTTCCAGTACGACCAAATCCACTTTGAACCTACATAAGAAACATTCAGAAAAAAAAAAAAAGAATTTTCTTTCATTTTGAACTAACTTCATCAGCAATATATAATCCACCATTTTGTTGTACAAGTTCTGTTGCTCGTTTAACATAATTCTTTGGAAATTGCACTGAACCACCATATCCCTAATTAAATCAAATTTATTTGTTTTCTTTTTTTTTTTTCATTTGAACAAAAACAAAATTGAACTAAACCTGAATTGATTCAATAAACATTCCAGCTACTTTCTTTTTCGAAACTTCATAATTAAGTATTTCTTCTAATTGTTCAACATATCGATCTGATGCTTGACAATGATCTTTTTGACAATTACATGAACGAGTTGTTTGAATTGGTGAATCTCGACAATATTGACCACCCCATATACCACGATATGGATCAGGATTCATTGCAACTCGACTTCCAGTTAAATATGTTCGTTTAAATCTAATAAATAAAAAAGAACAAATTTTATAAAAAGGTAAAAATAAACAAAGTTTTATTTACCCTGTAATATTTGTTAAACATAAAGTCGATTGAATAACACCATGATAAGAATTTCTGTTTAGAAAAAAAAAAAATAAATAAAAATCTATTAAATGAATTCTTTTGTTTATTTTAACCTGAGTGTAATAACTTCATGCTGTTTAGTATATTCTTTAGCTAAATGTAATGCTAAATCATTTGCTTCTGAACCACTATTTACAAATAAACAGACCTATAAAAACAAGAACAAAAAATTCTTATTCCGATTGATTAGAATAATTTCTTACCGATAAATGTTTATCATCTTTAAAATGTTCTAGTAGTTTTTCAGCATAATCACGTACAGGATCTTGTAAATAATATGTTGATACATGCCAATATTTTTTCATTTGATTTGTTGCTGCTTCAATTAATCGTGGATGACAATGACCAACACCAACAGTAACTATACCAGCAAAAAAATCTAAATAACGTTTTCCATTTGTATCATAAATAAATTGACGTTCACCACGAGCAACATGTAAATGTTCTTTATATTGAAGAAAAGGAAATGAAAGATGTTGAGAAAAAAATTCATCAATAGATTTTCGATTTGTTGATGCTTGTCGAATTATCTATTTAGAAAAGATACTTTTGTTTTTTTTTTTAAATATTCACAAATAATTTCTAAATACTTGTTTAGAAGATGAATAAAATGATCGAAGCAACATTTTTCTTTAATATATGTTTTTATTTGAATAAAACATTAAAAAGAAAAGGTTATGGTATGTTGTGAAGAAAGAGAAAAGATAAGACAATTGATGTAAAAAGAAAGTAAACATTCAATGATGTTATTCGTTTTTTCTAACGAGGTTATATCAAGTCTACAGATTGATTTGAATTATTATTGAAATCAAAATATTTTTCAAATATTCGAATTTGTATGAAAGTAATGATAAGAAATTCGTATACTAGTTATCATTCGTTTCCCAGATTATATCAACACATAATTGATCTTAATGAATAAATGAACTTCGATAAATTTGATTCTTTTGCAATTATTGAATAAGAATGGATAAAACATATTTTGGTCGTCGGATGTACAAACTATTCATTGAAAAACATTATGTTTTGTATTACCGTATGTTTTTCCGTGTAGGTTAATGAATGACCAACAGAGAAAAACTATGATTTTATTATTCATCCATGTCGCTGCATACATGATTTCTTTTTTGTTCTTCTAATACTGTTTATCTTCTTCGGTAAAATGAATTATTTGACTTCATTTCTACTACTCACTCTTTCTCATCAGTGTCGTTAAGGATATTATTCGTCAATATTTCTTTTCTAAATATATCATTTAATCATTCAACTTCAATTTTATTACAAAAAATGTTTGCCTGTTACTAATTCATATATTTCATGCTCAAGCAAATGATAATTTTAATTTATCGCTTATTTTAATCACTAAAAAGTTTAACAATAATTAAAGCCAAAGAGATTGATTAGGAAGGCTTAGGTGAGTGAATTACACAGTAAAATCAATATGTAAACAAGTATAATTTAAAAAAAAAACAAGAATTTCGAAGTCTTCAAAGAAACAACAAGGATAAAAAGAGGTCAAATTGATTGAACTTGCAAGCAGTGTTTTAAGCCGAAAACTATCTTTGGGTTTCTTTTATGATTGCTGATCGTTTCTCATTAGAAAGAACAATATATTGACTGGAAGTTACCAGAAAAATCAGCAGACGTTCCGACCCGAAATATTACTTTCAAGTTCCATGAATTTCTAGTGTTTTTTTCTGGGAATCAGCCTGTGTACATTCATGAGAGCTGTGAAAATTTATTCAAGGCAATTTTCTAATTTAGATCTGCTTCAACAATCATACTTTTGGATGATGAATTAAAAAATGGAAGAAACAAATACAATGATGATCATAACATTATATTAAGACAATGATAAATCACGCCTTATTGGATCTCTTATAGTGTCGTATTCAACTGTTCAAATTAATCGTAATCTACTTCGTAGTGACTATCATTCGGAAAAACTAGCACTATCTCTATCAAATCTTTGTGTCATTGATCTTTGTCTAAGGCAGCATTGTTGTTAAGAAAAGAAAAGGACATCGATAGGATGACAAGAAGTGCGATGAAAAGCGAAAACGTCAAGTGATACTTACCTTCATTTCTAACTAGACTATCTCAAATTTACAGATCGACCTTAGTCATTATCTATATTGAATCATTTACAAATCTATAACTTCATATGAAACCTATGATGAGAACACTTTTAACTATTAGTCATTTCACGGTTGATTATATTATGTTTTGATTAAATTCCTTTATCAAAAAAACAAAACTTTAATAAATTTTTTCTAACGATCATAGAATAAAAAGGTAAATGTCAAATATAGTTAATGATAAATCTAATTCTGAAAATATATGTTACACACTTTTTTTTTGTTCGTTAAGAAAATAAGTTAAGGATACTAATTTATTTAAAGAGAATTAAGTGAAACAGATCTTAACTTCTAGAGAAATATCTTGATCAAATGAATGATATTCGTAACAGAATTATTTGAAATATATCTTAGAAAATATATACTTGGAAAGAATTAACGAGGGAACATATCCAACTATCAAATTTTGCCCATAGATAGGCCTTATAATCACTAGAAACTTCCCAAAGTTTAAGCTAGAATGAACGTATAATTATTGAAATATCAGCTTGTCATGAAAATGTCTCTATTTTGAAACACAGTTCAAAACAGGCGTTTCTTCAAAATGTGAATATCTCGATAAGAATGTGTTCGTTCTGGCTCAAACTTTGAGAAGTTTCTAGTGATTATAAGGCCTATCTATGGGCAAAATTTCAGTTTGAAATTCGATCATTCAGGTACTCAGAAGAATCTTATGCCAAAATCAAGTAAAAGACCCATAACTCGACAACAGAAGGTCGGAAAACCAAAGCATTCTAGGACATTTAATAAGTCACTGAGCTCTATTGTTTACGAACATGCTCGGTCCGAAAG